ATGATATGTTGTTTCTTTTTTCAATTTCTCATTGCCAAAAGATGAGTTACGTGACCTCTGATAATTCCCTAGTCGACAACACTACTTTCTATCTCACTGGTTCATGCGGCTCAGGTCTCAATTACTTAAGGGGTTCAGGTATGTTAAGGCTAATCCTTCTTTCTTTTGGCATGATCCAAGTAACGATACGTAAACGTAATGTTATTCCATAAACGGCTCTACTCTTAGTAGTTAAGGATGTCTGCATTATTCATTCCTATGTAAAATGATATTCAAAGCATGTCTAAGTATGTTCCTAAGTTTCTATTGAGGTATTTGATAAAGATGTTAATGTTCATAATATCATAATACATGCATCTTCATGCATATTCATTTACCACCGTGCTACGGCCGGTTGGAAAGACATGCATATTCATTTACCACTAGGCTACGGCCGGTCGGGCAGTCATGCATTTACCACTGGGCTACGGTCGGTCGGGCAATTACTACCGGTTAGGCAGTTATGTATCATTATTTACCACCGGTTGGGCAGTTATACATTTACCACCGAGTTACGACCGGTCGGGCAGTTACCACTGATCGGTTGGGCAGTCATGCATCATACGATATGGATAATACAAACAGTCTCAAAGAGAAGCATTATATATAAGTATGATAAGCAGGTATATATATGGTAGCACTTCAGAGATTCATGTTGATTCTTATATGTCTTTAAAGTAATGTGAACTTATTGTTATGTTTCAGTTCTGCCTTACATACTTAGTACATTATTCGTACTGACGTCCTTTTGTTGGGGACGCTGCATTCATGCCTGCAGGTATAGATAATCAATTTGACGAGCCCTCAGAGTAGACGAGGTTGGCAGTCAGCAAAGGATCGGTAAGACTCCACCTCATTCGGAGTGCAGCCGAGTCTATGAGTCATCGTTTCAGAGTTTTGTTAAAGACTTATGGGTAGGACGGTACCATGTCCCATTTGATGTCAAATAATCTTAGAGGCTTTTTAGACAGAGCTTCATTTTTATTTACAGTATGCCAGAGGCCTTGATGGCCCATATGTATTCATGTTTTAAAAACGATGGTTCATTGATACAATGCTTGCCCACTTATAGTTGTACATTACAAGTTGTGGCCATGTTGGCCTATGATAGTTTGAAAAAAATGAGTTATAGAGTGGTTCGCTCGGGCTAGTATGGCACCGGGTGCCAGCCACGCCTCCCCAGGTTTGGGGCGTGACAGTTCTACTTGCCAAAATCCCTCTTTTTGAAATGGTTCTTCGCCTTGTCGCTTAAAAATTCTCGAAGGTGCCTTTTATTGAATAACCGGGCTACCTCCTCTCTTAGTTGCCTGCAATCTTCCGTTCTGTGGCCACGGGTGCCATGATATTTGGACATTTGATTGGGATTTCTCTGGGCAGGATCGGTCTGCATGGGTCGAGGTCATTTAGTGTCTTTGATGCGTCCGATAGCCGACACGATGGCGGATGCATCAATGCTGAAGTTATACTCCGATAACCGAGGCGCTTCCTTAGATCCGGTAGGCCTGTCGAACCCACTTCTGTTCATCGGTCCCCGAGACCCTTGACCTCGATCACTTCTTTTGTTGATTTGTCCGGGGTTACATCTCGATTCATTGATTCTATGGTTTCTGTTATACGGTCGATATCGATCCCTGATCGGACCTTGTTCTTGATTGATATCCCTTCGAGCAGCGGGTTCAGCCCCCAACTGATCATCTTCGACTCTAATTTTTGATTGGTACCGATTGTGCACGTCGGCCCAAGTGATAGCTGGGTACTCGATCAGGTTATGCTTCAGTCGCCTTGATGCCGTCGAACTTCATTCGTTCAAACCTTGAGTGAAAGCTTGAACAACTCAATCGTCTATGACTGGTGGCAGATCCATTCGTTCCATTTGAAAACGAGATATGAACTCCCTTAGCATCTCGTTATCCTTTTTTCTTACCTTGAAAAGGTCTAATTTCCTCGTTGCGACCTTTATGGCCCTGGCGTGTGCCTTTACGAAAGAATCTGCTAACATGGCAAATGAATCGATCGAATTCGGTGGTAGGTTGTGATACCAAATTATTGCTCCCTTCGAGAGGGTCTCTCTAAACGTTTTCAACAACACAGATTCGATTTCATCGTCCTCCAAATCATTACCCTTGATGGCGCACGTGTAAGAGGTGATGTGGTCGTTGGGATCAGTCGTTCCGTTATATTTGGGAATTTTGGGCATACAGAATTTTTTGGGGATTGGTTTTGGGGCCGTGCTCGAGGGGAGAGGCTTTTGCACGAATATTTTGGAATCCAACCCTTTTATTATTGGTGGAGCCCCCGGGATCTGGTCGACCTTGAAATTATATGTTTTTACTTTTTTATCTTTGGCTTCGACTCACTTTGTGAGCTCCTCGACTATTTTAGCGATTTTGGGAGTAGTCCCTGATTCTTGCTCATTTGACCTCACTATGGATGGCTCCGTTCCGTGGGCAATTTCTCGGGGTGGACTGGGCTCCGGCCTGCTTGGTGGCTGGGTTTGGCTCTGTAATTGAGCTATCGCTACCTGTTGGGCTTGTAACATTTCAAAAAGCATATGCAAGCTGACGCCGTTTTCCTCAATGTTATGGGTGTTTCGAGCTGCAGACCGAGTGCCACCATGAATGCTATTTTCAGGTTCAGAATGTATGTTCGCCTCAATGGCCACATGCGAATTGATATCTATCGGCACTCCGATCCGAGCTCCAACGGTGTTGACAAGTGGTCTTTCGGTACTGGGTGTCAAGTTGTTGTTCTCATCTTGAAGACCAGCTTTGTTGTCGATAGATAATGCCATTTGATTGGTAGTTAGTCGTAGCTAATCAGAAATTCGAGATACTTTCGGAAACAAGTGCAAAACGGTGTATTTTTGCAGATTCGTATCAAATAACCACTGTTATCCTTAGCCCCACGGTGGGCGGTAAACTGTTTACCCGAAAAAACGGATAGAGTTGAATTTGTACGTAGTTCTAAGGATATGTGGTATAGCTTAATACAAATCATTGGGATAAATAAAAATATCAAATATGGATTGCAAAGAATGCGAAGTGAACAAGGTTGTAAAGAAGATGATTTTTGGGAGTTGGGACTCAGCAAGTTGAATCAATTTATGAAGTTTAAAAGAACAATTCTTCAATATAGGAGAATATGGTGCTTGAATTATAATGTAAGCCAAAAATTGGCTTCTACAAAAATGTAGTCATTCTCTTTATAGTGGATGATCCTACTTTAGATATAATTAAAAATACATAGTGGAGAATTCATGATAAATCAGCTTTTTCCTAATTTTCGCCGAGATTCTCTCCCTTAGTGTGTTTGCAACGGCTCTTGTCTGTGAGCTCGAACTCGATCGGCCTCGGTGTTGGTCGGTAGTACTTCTGGAGCTCGATATGGACTCGAGATCAGGTGATGATTCGGACTCGGTCCCTGCTGGCCTCTGTCCCTTAAGCTCGAAATCATCTCATCTCAGTTCGATTCGGACCCGAGCTCGATGATGACTTCGAACTGGGTGTTTGACCTATACCTGAAATCCAAAGCTTGTTTGTACCATTTTCGGAACCCATCTCGAAGTCTTTCTTCGATCCATTATGTTTCGACCTCGATCGATCGTACGAAGGCCGAAAATCGTATACATGTATAAACTCTGTATTTGTACTAAAAATATATTAAAAGTATAAGAATATTTGGCTTGGATCTCAATTTGTTGGTCCAGTTATCATGTAAATTAACTTGAGATTGTTGTAGGAACCCATAAGCTTAAAATTCTAGATCCGCCTCTCATTCACGACCAAAAGTAAAGCAAGTAATTTTCGCAATTTGGTGAACTTTGTTTCCTGAAAATTAACACTAGATAATAACTTTTTTACAAAAAATATTATTTTCCCTAAATTTTCCTTTTAAACGTAATTTTTTATGTACCTTATTTGCTACGTGGAGTTCTCTTTTGGGAGTTTAAAAGTACGGAAAATGGCAAACAATACCCTTAACGTATTGAAAATGGCTCAAAAATACCATTCGTTAACTTTTTGGTCCGTAAATGCCGCTAACATTTGTTTTTGGGCTCAAACTTACCCCTATATCTAACCGAACTAACCTGGTCAATTTTTTGACTTTAACTTCGCCATGTGGTATTTTCTTAACCTGCCACGTATATTATTTGTATTAAATAAAACCCACCTGTATATTTTAAAATACCCAACTACCCTGACCCGCTCCTATATATTTGGACGGTCGGCTAAAAATAATTATATTCGCTAGTTAAATATATAAAAAATATACATTAATTATATATAAAAAAATATATATATTATACATTAATATTTTAATATATATTTTACATGTAAGGTGCATCCAATATATTTACTCTCTATGCCGTATAATTTTTCATACAAATAATATCATGTAAAATATATATTAAAATATTAATATATAATATACATATTTTTTTATATATATATAATCAATATATATTTTTTATATATTTAACTAGCGAATATAATTATTTTTAGCCGACCGTCCAAATATATAGGAGCGAGTCAGGGTAGTTGGGTATTTTAAAATATACAGGTAGATTTTATTTAATACAAATAATATACGTGACGGGTTAAGAAAATACCACATGACAAAGTTAAGGTCAAAAAATTGATCAAATTAGTTTGATTAGATATAAGGGTAAGTTTGAGCCCAAAAATAAATGTTAGGGATATTTGCGGACCAAAAAATTAACAAAAGGTATTTTAAAGTTAATTTCATTGTTGGCCATTTTCGGTTAAAAGTATATAAAAAGTTCCTACGGTCCAAAACGTCCCAAAATTGCGTCTTTGTCAATCAACCACACGGAACCCCAAAACCTAAAAGATAAAAGAAAAAGAAAACATGAGAAAGCCCCCC